TATATAGGTTGGAAATATAAATTACAATTAAAATAAAATAATTGCAACCGTTTTTAGTAACAATAACATTAATTCATAATCTTTTTGATGTCAACTATGTATTCGTTGAGATAGAACCTCGGATAGAACTATACATATGTATAGTTATTATTACTAACATTGTAGCAGTAATAATCATATAATTATAATTTATAGGCTAACATATAATTATGCGACAAATATTAAATGGTCACAAATATCAGAAACTTTACTTTTAGTATAAAATATTAAATTATATTAAACATACAAAAATTATATCAAAGAACACATAGAGTCTTTTTAGTTTTATATGTGCAAAACGACATGTCTCATATTCTTCAAATTATTTTGCAATTAAAATGATATAATTATCCAAATGATCCAATGATATAATTATCAAAATGATACAATATAATTATCTTCGTCAAAGACGAATTTATAAATTGGAATATTACATATCTAAATTGCAATTAATCAAACAGTTATAAATAAATAATTCTGTGACTTCGCGCTTATGCCTCATTATCATTCGCGATGTGATGAAGCCCTTTTCATCAATTTATATGCTCATATCAAAGCTGCCTAATAATAATATGTCAGTAACTGGCTTACATTACAGCGTACACATGCTCCATGGCAATAACCGCATTAATAATGCCACCCTCGTCGATAATAATCGTGAAATCACGTACCTTGGCAATATTACGTCGATCGATTTTGGTTATTCGGCGAGATAATACAGAACAATAACGGGGAATGACATATTTGCTATTGCCTCATTCAAACACAAAATCGGCAGTTGTCCTTCTCTTCGAATGTCGATAAAACCTCTTTGCCCACTTAATATTTCAAGAAAGGCGGTTTGTAATTAGTAACAGGGTAAATATATCGATAACGTATCGTATTTCATTTTTAAATAGTGAGAAACGCACACAAAATCTATACGCTTGATTAGCTGAAAAGCAGGATAAAGAAAATCTTCGAATTGTTATATTAAAAATTCTATCGTAAATTGATTGATAATCCCAAAATGATAAACGCGTGAAACTTTAACGTCATTTTATCGACGTTAATCGCCTGTTAACCTCAAGACACAACTTTGGCGAACTGTATCTAAGAACATCGCACTCAAGTCGGGAAAGTGTCGTGACAATGACAAATTAACGTACGATACGCAAATCACTGCATTCTCTGGCGAATGCATATTTAAAGAAGCTGTAAAGGGTGCGCGTGCAAATCGACGTAAGTCGATCAACAACGAACGCTACGGAGTTTCGCGGCAATTACGCGCGTAAATAACATTATCGGATGCTAACTGGCTAAGTTTTAACTTGGTTTCTTTAACGCAGAGGTGAGGAAGAAAGTGTCTTCTTGTTACTCTTCAAGCTTCTTCTTAAACTCTTTTAATCTCCGGAGAATCTCCTTCGAATAAAATGATAACGTTGAATATACATTGCACGCAGTACATTTCCCGAAGACAGAATATAAAAGAATTGAGAAACGATTAAATTATATATATACGACTTTGCGATGGTAGGTAGTGTCGTTACACTGGAAAATAGTATATGTGGTAAACCAAGTCGAATTAATTATTACAAAACCGCAACGATCCGCGAATCCGCCTTGATTCGATATGCCCTGTTCGTCGCTTCTTCTTTTTATTATGTATTTCCATATCATTTTTTTACACTTCCACCGCGAGTTCGTTTGCAACAAACGTGTGATCTCCGCGTGTGGCTATTGTCCAACTACTATACACCAAAAGGCGTTTCCGGTTTTGCGTATCATTGCATCAGTGCATATGCAATGAATTTTATGTGAGTCACGTTCATCGCTTTGTCTCGCAAAAAGAAATAGTACCTCCGCGACGCTGCAGTCGTACCTGTAAAAACAAAAGAACAATTTGTTCTGAAAATACGGAAAAGAATAAAAAGCAATGTCGATGAAAGACTAAGATACATTTTTTTTTATTTATGACGTTTAACGAGGAAACAATATCAAATTAAATTTCCGAGATAACAAATTAATAATAAACAAATGAAAACTAAACAATTGGGCGCTGTCGACGGTGCGCAGTTTGCTTTTTTGGAAGTTTATTTTATATCAAAAAAGAGAAAGAGAAACACAGAATGTGTTTATATAAAAAAAGAGTTTACATTAAAAATTTATATCAAGTTTATATAAAAAAAGAAAGTTAATAGATTCTGTCAACTTTTTTTTAATATAAACTTTTTTATATTAAAAAGACATACTGCGCACCGTTGACAGCACCTAATTCACAATTGTCTGATGGTTTTTATTGGTTTATTATGACATTTAGTCTTATAAACAGCGCAAACTTGGTTATAGAAGTCAATAGTTCACATACCTGTAATTGAAGCATTTCATAATACAATATAAATAAAACAAGAGATGTATGCGTGGAATAATATAATATATGTACATAATTGCAATGTCAATATTTTCATTTTCCGAGAAATTCCGCAGAAATAGTTTTGCTTTCAGTTAATTAAATAGTACTTTTCACCAAATTATTAAATTTAAAAACTGCAAATTGTTGAATGTAATTAATTTAAATATACATATATATGTATACACATCAAAATGCGAGTGGAAATTATTCAATTACACGCATAATTCTTTTACACACAGTAGACTAACAAGAACATTTTACATTGTGATTTCCCCAATTGAATTGTGAAGTTTCAAACTAAAGAGATTAAATTCTAAAGCATCTCGATACGATGTCTTTGCAGTAGTATTACGTTACATGCACGGTTAAACCTGTACAACGTTATTAGATTGCCTTTACCGGAATCCAATATTACTGGTAGTCCTAATAGTGCCAATACGTCGCTGGCATGGATTTGTCAATTTCGGTGTGACGCGATATAATTACATAACTGTAATATATAAGCTGGAGTCACAGTTAGTTGAATTTGATGGTTATGCTATTGCGCGATTACATAAATCCTTGATATTAAAATTATAATTAGATGTATAAAATTCCCTCAAAGATATCAGAAATACCGAGTACAGTATCAATGCGCTTGTCGTCCTGATGAAGTAAACGGCAAGGTTCACCAAACGCTCGCATTAGTAATGGATGAAAACACGGCGATAACCCGCAAACCTTCCGATATCTTTGAAGGATAATACCCGTGAAATCCTCAAAAGCGTTATATAAAATCCTCTTTCTGGTTTTAAAAATTCGATTGCATGACGAAAGGTGAAAAGGATGTACGTTGAAACAACAAAAAATTGATTCGTACTTTTGCGTTCAACCCTTTCGGTGACTGCATCATACGAGGACTTCATACGAGTTTTATGCAAAACAACGCGAGTGTTTGGCGTCACGTGGACTCAACCGCTATGGAACCGGATGCAACAGCTTGCCGCAGACTGACCATCCAAGTGTGCTTCCGGTTGTAATTCGATCCGTGACCCGTGAATTAATATTTCATCACGGTTGCATTGGCTCGGGTCACACTATAGGTTCCCTACTCTAACCCTTCTCATTTTAACGGCGCCTCATCGGCTGTCCTTGGCACGCCCAACGTTTTATACTTGTTCGCTTTATTCGTTTCCTTTTGTTGGATGTTTTCGCGCGTGAGATCGACGTCGTAAGGTTAACGATCCGTGCTCGCGGAAAATACTGCCATTTGGATTGTAGTCGGGGGAGGCGCTTCCGACGGAGAAGAATCACGGTGAAATTAACGGTTGCTCGCCCGCTTCAACGTACAATGCAATGCATTAATGGTTCTAGTGCAGAACGCACTTATCACGCTTACTCTCTAGGTCTCAAGGCGCTTTACCGGCTGCTGCGTCCATTCTGCTATTCGACAATTGATCCGACAACCTCCGTTGTTTAATCTCGCAGTTCAGTCTTTTGAATACTGCACAATCACGAAACGTTTTCAATATATCATTAAAATTCTAAACAATAGATTTTATTTAAAAATAAATTAATATAGATGTATTTGAAAAAAAAAAAAAAAAAACTTGTTGAGTAAAACGAGCGAGCTGGTTATCATCTATTCGAATATTCTACAAACGTCCATTGTTGCCAAGCCACGAGTGCTCGACTGAAAGTAATCCGACTGAAAGCGGTCGGTGTACCACGGTAGCGTTTGCCGATCGCCACGTTTACATTTTCTCCCGGAAACACGAGGGCGATTTTAAGTTTGTTCACGTAACCTCGCAAGTCTTGTACGTGCCTGCGTCATGCCCGTGAAAATGTTCGCTCTTATCTCCAGAAATGTCGCGGAAAATCTCCGGTATCGCGAGGGAACGAATCTGCGCGCGGGGTGCATCCCCGGAAACCTGATGAGCGAAGTTCAATGACCTATATATCGACGTTTACAATACACATCCACTGGCAAAGGCACAATGCAACTGCGATACGAAGACCCTCGTAACTCTATAGCGACTCGAAATCAATACGGCGTATATCGATGATATGTCAATACGCAGACCGTCTTGCCTTACAATTCACTCCTGCGCCGAAGCCAAGTGGTCCAAGCAAGGAGTCGAGGCCGAGTTACAAAGGGTCGTCCCGTCCCGTCGATCTCGAAATTGCTTAGGCGGCAGGATGTGTTCAAGACGAGAATGGAGATACATCTAACTGCATTATATTGCGAAATACAGTTAACCGTATTTCGAACGTATCGACAGTACAGTCTGAAGAGCATAGAATAGTTTCCTAAATTAATGGAAATTTATTTATAGAACGACAATGAACGTTTATTGACTGCAAATTTCCAGTATGCACTTCTCAATATGCACTCGATTATTGTATGATGAGTTGATGCAGCAATCCTGAATCAGTTAGAAATATATATTATTGAAAATTTAAAAAAAACCTATTAAGCTGTAATATATTTTTTTTAATAGCTACGCGACGTCTATAATAATTTAAGTGTGACAAGTTCTAATGGAAAAATAATCTTTTTGTTAGCAGAATGAGAACAGAGCCTTACGGCTGAAAGAACCCGCGTCCCTGGCGCTTTCCGCCAGCGGAAATTCCGGCGGCTACATGGATCCAGACGGCACAGCCATTGTAATGTCATCCGAGCTTCTGCCAGCACCGACTCCGGATCCGAGAGTGACGTGGAATTACTTTGACGAACAGGGGTGAGTCTGGACGGTGATCTTCCTTCGCTATTATTAGCTTCGCGATATGCACCTTGAACATCATTCACTTGCAAGCGTATTTTCAGTGTCGGCTCGAACTCTCTTAAACATTCCAGCACGCATTTGCGAGTGTAATATTGATTCGGCTGCAGCGAGACTTCCGACTTCTGTCCGAAGTTGGAACATTGGCATTAATTATTTTACACCTTCAACACAAACATTATCTTCTGTTACATATCTTCGGATTTTTTTTGCAACGGTCTATTTGCAGCTTTCCAGACTAGAAACTGCAACATATCGCGCCGGGACATATCCGCGTGTTATTGCTACATTATGTTGAAATGTTTCATTATCCACGCCATTCATCGACATTGCTATTCGCTATTATAACCGACGTGCCGTTATATTCGTTACGATGGACGTCGCATTTTACGGCGCGATCATTTCGACACTCGATAAACACACGTAAACCCAAATATCAGGTTTGACGAGGGATTGTAGAAAAAAATAACAAGAAATTCAACGGCAAAATAATTTTCTTTGTGCAACAGGTACGTTTCAAGAGGTGGTCTACGTGCAGGCGAGGACCCATACGCGAGGAATAAATTCAATCAGGAAGCCTCCGACGGTCTTCCAAGTAATCGTGATATACCTGATACTCGTAGCGCTATGTAAGTAATTTATTACGTAATGTTTGTCAATGTATTACGTTTGTATTTTAAACGTTTTATCTTGCTTCTTTAAATATAAGGCATTATTATTAAACAAGTATTAAATGATTAAACATATGTTAATATATTAAACATTGGACATTACATGTACATTAGACACAATTAGACACATGATTGGATGTACAATGTACATATTGTAGATTAGATCCTATATAGGTGTATAGATTACATGTGGGCATACTGCTGGATATATTATAATGCAATATAATATTGCTAGCTCATTTTACGAATACATTATGTATGTAGCATATATTCATTTTATTATAACGACATAACTCCAAAATTGTTATTTTTCTGTAGTTGCTTGCAGAAAGAGAACATAAATATAAAGGAAAAGTACATAAAAGCATATTTTTGTCCTTTTATCAGTTTTTCAATCAATTATTATATTAAAATTACATTTCAAAATTATTATTACAAAATTTTAATGATTTAAAACATTTTTGGAAAGCTTTGTTTTTTTAGATATTCACGGTAAAAAGTGTAAAATAATATGCGCTAGAAATGTAGTAAATTTTATGGAATTGACACAGGTATATATGTATGTATAAAGATAAATAACCACTTATGTGAAGTTTATTTTTCTGTTAAACAACTCCGATATTTTTTATTTTTAGACAAGTAAAGTGTTATAAGTTCGGCAAAAATAGTCAGGATAGTTTTACTGGACTTATAAAATCATCCATTTTTTTTCCATGTGTATAACAAATGAGCAATATATCGAATAATTTATTTTAAAAAGCAAAGCAATATTAATGTATAAAATAAGCTCAATGGAACTAAATAAAATAATAAAAGATGATCGTGGTTTATTGTCGCTTGTCTCTCGATCCATCGCAATATTCATACGTTTTGCATTATTCATTGATAAAAACATTGAAGACGCATCAAAGACGGTTACTCAGAGCTACAAAATTGTCTCGTCATGGAATAAATTCTCAATTCGTGTATTTGTGAAAGACGACGGGATAAGTTTTTCATTTTTTAAATAATACATCGGTACAGTCGGTGAATATGATTTGCTGTCAAACAGTCTCCTCACAAAACAAGCATTTCGGGATGAGCGAGAAGATGGCAAAAAGAAATAAAAGAACGCAGAAATTGGCCTGTCGGTCGATCAACCCGTTTATACACTATTATTGGCAGCTACGTGATTCTCTCGGCAGACATTATTCCTCGCAAATGATCGGCAAGATCGCGGCGTACCGCTGGGAATTCATGCGGTATCATGACAGGCTGCCATACATTCAGGCCGCCAAACAGCAGTTACTCCGCCGAAGAAGAGCAGCAAAATCTCGCAAATACTGAGAAGTAATATATTTCTCCCCGTCTAAGTACAATAAGATAATCGCACATAGTCATTTGTGAAGACGAACTTTCATCTAATTATCCTAGAAAATTGATGAAAGGAAACAGATTATCCGCAATTTCTCATAGCGGATATCTAAAAATTTCTACTTTATTATAAATAGACTTTTGTTAAATTTATTAAAGAAGAAATATATTTTTATTCGCTTTTTTGTTAACATATGTTTGATCAAAGTACAAGAAATCCATTTCCGCATATGCCGCCGCGAATATATCCAGTAATTTCCTGCGAAGCAAATCTGGCATCAATCTGACGTCCGTTTCACCTATCAGATACATATTTCCATTGAAAAAGGTAATAATAATATAACGCAAATATATATCGTGAAATATTTAATATTCGGAAATTTAAAATTCTGCATTTTAAATCAATCTTTTATTATATTACTCGTACATTATGAATGTAATATGTAAATGCATATACAAATACATAAACGCGTAAATATCAAGAAATCTTTTGCACAGGCTCGAGTGTACTGTAATTGGCAGTTCCTCTGCGCGATAGGATCGCAAAATATACACCTGCTGTAATTCTTCCGATCCACCTAAACGCAATCTATCCTCGTACGCTCTGACACAAGACTCGCACGAACACACATACACGTCTTTTTATATCATGAAAAATTCAAAAGGCAGCATGAAGTTCCAATACATTCAAACCGTCAAGGAGTTTGAGTTGCTCCCAAGAAAAGCGATAAAGCCGCGATCATAAATTCTTACCGATACACATAGATCATTGGTACCATTGTTACACGTCAAACGTTGTTAGCCGCCCAAAACGCGGCTCCATATATAAAGTTTGCGTGAAACTATGGGTACATATCCTCTGTTTATGGTCATTGTATATAATGTTTGCAGTGAATATAAATTATAGTTGTCGTGATATCTGTTGTTATATCTTGTCGCTGAAAATCATGCGAGGAGCGACTGTTTGTCAGAAAGATTAATCGGTTATCGCTGTAATGTGTCGGTATAATATATTGCTAATTAGTATCATGACGTTATTTGCAATAAATCGCATTTCCATGTGTACATTAATTTTCTCATTGCCGCGTATGCTTTATTAAAATCTAATTAGTTAAGTGCATATTATGTTGACATCATGGCATATGATTCGCGTATTTTTACACATACATAATAAATATAGAGTATCTTTTAAAATGCAAACTAGGTATCGAGATTTATATACTGAGAAAAAATGTACTAAATTTTAATAAATATTTATTTGAACAGTACTAACTTATAAACATTTACTTACTGTAAATAAATATTTAAAATTAATAGTTCTTGTATCAAATAGATATATGTATCTTTTAATAAATATGTAGCTGGCACTATTCAAATAATTTAAAAACATTTTTTAATGTAGCATTACTGTCTTCTTTCTATAACTAATAATTAAATCATTACGCATTTCCCATATTTAAAAAGATGAAATGTCATGTTTTACGTTATATCGACTGTAAAATTACATTATAGAAAAGCTAGCTTTTGTTGCAAATGTTATATCGCAGATATTTTTCGTAAAGTTAGTTCTGTGTATATTATTCGGAAAAACATAGTGAAAAATGTCTCTGTGAACGGATAGAAAAATATTGCGGATCTGTACATATCACGCTATGAGGTAAATCCTGCTTCAGGAAAATCGGCGTGGGAACATGCTCCGCAACGCATTCTGCGCGAGATGAATTTTTGCGCTTCTTTGCTTGGCAGACAGATGTGACGTCGCGAAAATACAGGAAGTCAAAGCTGGGGCGAAGTTATGCGTTTTAGATGAAAAAGAGATAGTACCTTTTTGTCAAGACGAAGGTCGTGAAAGGGTTTCGTCTCGATTCTAACGGTTAACCCGCAAGGAAGAAGCAGTGGGACGACGGAAACTGGGGAAGCAATAGAATTGAGTTTGCAAAGTTTTTTATGGCCGGTTCCTAGCACTTAATGGTATTGCCTGCTCTCTCTTGTTGCTTTACTCGTCCAATATACCGCTAATAAAAACATAGGCTGACTCTCGACACTTTCGTTCAGCATATAGAAGTACTAGTTGAAATTTCGGTCCCTACATGGTTAACAATAGTATAACGAAGTACACTTGGCAACTATCGTATGAAATAAAGAAGCTAAGTGACCAAAGGGGACAAAGGGGAGTTTTGTTGTGGAAATGTCTTTGTACAAACGAACTTTGATACAATAGAATTTGTAGTTATTCGCGTACAATAACAGTTGTACATATATTCGGAATAATCGCAAATTAGTATAATTATTTCACTGTCACGGTATATTACACAAATCGACGTATCTTGATCAGAGAAACTGTACTGTACTACTATAATCCAATTCCATAATTAATTCATTATCAATGCAGCTAATATTGAATATGCCACAATATACTTTACAACAAATAACAATGTATTGTTACTAAATACGCGATTGATATCCTAATTCTCACTGTTATAGGAAATTATTGAGAGAAATATTCTAAGTGTGTGTGTTAATCCCAAGTTTATTTACTTATAACTTATCTTTTAATTATTTTATGTGTAATTATTTTTAATTAAAAATAATTATTCTTACATTTATGATATTTGCAGTTTCTTTATGTAAAAAAATTATATTAGACAGCTCTCTCTCTCTCTCTCTCTTCTCTCTCTCTGATAAGGTTGCTGCCTATATACTTACCGTAACCATTTTGGATTATGACGTCAGAAGTGGAAAATGTATAAAGAAAATTTTTGCAAATTATATAGTAAAAATGTAAGTTTTTTTTAATAAAGCAACATTTGCAATCGATAAATTTGTAAAATACGGAAATTTTCCTTATGTTCCAATCAATAAATAACCATATTTAAGATTAAATTATGCGTAATCAGAAAATGAAACAAGTTATGACAGCAGTCGAATTGAAATAAATATGAGTTTATTCTATTTCGAAATAAAAAGAGAGAGTTTTTGGGATATTTTATAAAAATACTCTATTAAATGCAAATACTGTTCTGTTGAAAATTATTTCTATATTTTCATTATGTATTTATTTTCTCATTTCTCACGGATCATCAATCTGAGAATCCGTGATAAATGATCAAGAGCCTTAAATTGCAAACTAGATGTTTTTATTGCTCATATTTGATATTAAACAATCAATAGTATATGTTTATCGAAAGGCCAAGTGTTTTTATCATCGAATTTAAATTGCATTTAAACTCTTTCTCAGGTAATATTATCCTTGCCTTTGTTGCCAGATCTAAGTTTCTACGTTTTTCTTTTTTTTCGTTACATGCGACTATGTTATATTTTTTATAAACAGACATAATTCATTGTCTGCGAAACTCCTTAAACGCAAAGCTTCCTCGACGGCTATATAATAATTTACTACAAATTTGTTTGTACCTTCTAACTATGGGTGATATTGCACAAGACGTTATTAATTTTGCTTCAAAGCGAAAGGGGAATTCGTATCAGTTTACGTCCGTTTGATTAATTCTGTATAACGTGCTGTCGGGACGAATTCGGATCCGCATGAGTTATCGGATACGATCCGTGACGTAAACTTCGTTTTCTCTCCAGCACACGCGCGCTGGGCAAGTAATCGCCTTGATTCCTGACGGGGTAACGCGGAGATTCTGTTAGTTGCGTTGGTGCATGACCTCATGAATCACGAGAGAATCAGCGCGATGTCTGAGGTCTATATAAACGGTGACTGATGGGATTATACGTAATATCCGGCATGGATTTTGTAAGTATTAGCTGCCAAGGATCGAAAGTAAATACATCTACCCTCATACAAAGAGAAAGAAAAAACGATATTACTTTTATGTGTAAAAATAATTTTTTTTTTAATGACGTAATGGAGGATTAAAATAGATATTTATTCTCTCAAATTTGCTCGTAATGTCCTTTAGGCAGCAATCGAGAAATTCGATAGCCGATACCAGAAGCAGTACATGTATACGTAAATGTTACATGATCTTCGTTGAATGAGATTGTAACGCGAATGTACTGTATGTATTGATTAACCAGGGGGCAGCTTTGTCGGACTTTGTCGCTCTCTGCACAAAGCCGTATTAAACACTTAAAATTCTCACCGGAGATGTATGTTTGACCGCAGAAAGATCGTCGAGAGATCCATTCGATCACGGCGCTCATTGCTACGTGGCGCATAATATTTGACTCTCCGATTATCGCTCAAACATTGAACTACCGCGCGCGTACGAATTGAACTTACAAAGTCACTATAGTGTTCCGCAAACACGATATTCTCTCGTTATCGATTGCCTTCCTCTTGTAATTTCCATTATATTTACCGATACTAGAAGATCTACGTTATTTGCATGCCACATACATCACGAAACTCGATGTGCCGGTCGATATACATTAAATATATCAATGTGCTGCGAGTGTCGAGATAAGGATCCCGGGAGAGATTTACGCATGATATATGTTTGTAAATCCACCATTGCGATTGAACTTTAAAGGCGTCTAAAAAGAAAATATAGAATTTGCGTAAAATTTACATATTGAAAATTACACAGGTGTAAAAAAATGTTGATAAAAAACTCAAAGCAATGTAGGCGTTTCTTATAGATTTTAAATCGCTGTGTCCAAATTTCTAAATCGCTTCATCACATTCAGTTTTTTAGGTCGTCGAGAAAAATGGAAACATCTGTAAAGATTGAAATATTTATTGAAGAAAAAGCAAAAGTAAATATAACATTAAAATGCGGTCGCAAAACTGATTTTTAAAATATATTTTGATAAGTAAAATAAAACAAAAATGTTTCTTTTTTAATGTTAGATATTTTTCAAAATCTATGAGAAATATCTCTACTCTGATTTAAGTTTTTCTCCAAAATTTTTTTTGGTCCTGTGTTATTATATGCGAACACAGAGTAGCATTAGCTACGTAAATTATAATCATCAATTGGTTTATTTAGTTTTGTACAAAACTACCTATAATAATATATCTTACACAAAGACAAAGTTGCTAGTGTTATTTTTCCAAAAATAACACACATATTTTATAAGATTTGAGATTTTTATTTCGACATGGGCTGCTGTCGTGCGAAGAATTATGGCTACGTCGAAAATACCAACTTCCATAGAACAAAATGTCAGGAGAAAAATTATAGGAGAAAATAAACGTTACGGAGTTGCGGATGTTTCGGGGGCGCGATGCAACTATCTATTTGCCTGTATCTTCTGGCTGACGTAACAAGATTTCGCTACTTGCACGCAGTCTGATCGTACTCGCAGTTACTACTTCCTGGCTCAATAAACACGTGCGATCCACTTGACGTAGAAAAGAATCGATTTATCGACAGTTTTAGAAATTACAGAAAAACATACTGCGGTATGAAACAAAATTTGAAATTTTCCATATATTTATTTTATAAATTTAACAGATTAATTCTTTTGTGTATTTATATTTTATTTGAATGAAACTTATTTTACACATAATTGAATTATAATCAATATGCTTCAACGCTTTATTTTGTTACAAATAAATTTATTTCAATAATAATTTCGAATCATACATATTAATATTAAGAATTTTATTTGATGTAATAATAATATAATTTCTCCATATATATTACAATTATTTCATAAAGCATTTACATAATTAACTCTATAAATGATTTCATTTATGTATGTAACTGTAATTTATAAACTAATTTGATTAATTAATCATAAATTATAATATGGCAAAGTAATCAAAATAGTAAACTGATCTGAAATAATCAATCACATATCACATTTTACTTATGAAAGATCAAATGC